TCATTACAATTGCCCATTAGTTGGGGCGTTAAAAATTAAAAATGTAAACAATTTACACGCGAAAACGAAATATATCGCAATCATAAGGGACTAAAATTGGAGTCAATAATACGCATTGTGTACTACACTGGTCTAAATGATTTGTATTTAAACTATTTCAGAGCCTGAAATAAAATAAAATATATACACAAACATTCATATCAATATTTAAACCATTAAACGCACTAATCTATATTTTATTAAAATTAGAAATTTGTAATATATAATTTATATATTAATAAATTAATGACCCTGTCATTTCTTCTATTAAAAATTGCATACGTGATATTATTAGGCCCTACGCCTGTTTTGGTGAAAGGTGCAAAAAGAGCTTCATCCTTTTTCTACAGCAATCGGCAGTATTGATACAATACAGACTTTTATTCTGAATATAAATTCCATAAACTAGAAGTTATGTTTATAATAAGTTATGTTTATAATAAGTTATGTTTATAATAAGTTATGTTTATGATAATTATGTTTATGATAAGTTATGTTTATGATAAGTTATGTTTATGATAAGTTATGTGTATGATAAGTTATGTGTATGATAAGTTATGTTTATAATAAGTTATGTTTATAATAAGTTATGTTTATAATAAGTTATGTTTATAGTAAGTTATGTTTATAGTAAGTTATGTTTATGATAAGTTATGTTTATAATAAGTTATGTTTATAATAAGTTATGTTTATAGTAAGTTATGTTTATGATAAGTTATGTTTATAATAAGTTATGTTTATAGTAAGTTATGTTTATAGTAAGTTATGTTTATGATAAGTTATGTTTATAATAAGTTATGTTTATAATAAGTTATGTTTATAAGTTATGTATGTTTATGATAAGTTATGTTTATTATAAGTTATGTTTATTATAAGTTATGTTTATAATAAGTTATGTTTATAATAAGTTATGTTTATAGTAAGTTATGTTTATGATAAGTTATCTTTATGATAAGTTATGTTTATAATAAGTTATGTTTATAATAAGTTATGTTTATAAGTTATGTATGTTTATGATAAGTTATGTTTATTATAAGTTATGTTTATTATAAGTTATGTTTATGATAAGTTATGTTTATAATAAGTTATGTTTATAATATGTTATGTTTATAATAAGTTATGTTTATAATAAGTTATGTTTATGATAAGTTATGTTTATGATAAGTTATGTTTATGATAAGTTATGTTTATAATAAGTTATGTTTATAATAGGTTATGTTTATAATAAATTAGGTTTATGATAAGTTAGGTTTATGATTAGTTATGTTTATAATAAGTTATGTTTATAATAAGTTATGTTTATAATAAGTTATGTTTATAATAGGTTATGTTTATAATAAATTAGGTTTATGATAAGTTATGTTTATAATAAGTTATGTTTATAATAAGCTATGTTTATAATAAGTTATGTTTATGATAAGTTATGTTCATAATAAATTATGTTTATAATAAGTTATGTTTATAATAAGTTATGTTTATAATAAATTAGGTTTATGATAAGTTATGTTTATAATAAGTTATGTTTATAATAAGTTATGTTTATAATAAGTTATGTTTATAATAAGTTATGTTTATGATAAGTTATGTTTATGATAAGTTATGTTTATAATAAGTTATGTTTTAATAAGTTATGTTTATAATAAGTTATGTTTATAATAAGTTATGTTTATAATAAGTTATGTTTATGATAAGTTATGTTTATGATAAGTTATGTTTATAATAAGTTATGTTTAATAAGTTATGTTTATAATAAGTTATGTTTATAATAAGTTATGTTTAATAAGTTATGTTTATAATAAGTTATGTTTAATTAAATATGTTAAATAAAGACTTTTATTCTGAATATTCCATGAATTCCATGAACTTGAAAAGTAGGATGTAAAACTCAACAAATATCACTTCATTTATATTGTGAATGATAAACGGCGACTTGCGACCTGCTACATGTATTGACTGATTATAATACTGTTATTGGACTCTTTTAATCTACTATTAAATATAAGTTCTATCTCGGCCTCTACTGGAAAAGTAAGACGTCAAACTCAATGCATGTCACTCAAATTGTATTTTGGTTCATGAACGGCGTCTTGAGATCTGCTACAGAAATTGACGGAACTAATTATGCTATTAGACTCTTTTAATCTACTTTCATAAATTCAATCTTGGTGTGGAAAAGCAGGATCATAAACGGCGACGTACGACCTGCTACAGGGATTGACTGAGCTGAGGGATTTAAGAAAATCAGTGAAACAACAAGACGATCTGACGAAAAGTAAAGTCAACCTGTTTTACAGAATACACAATCTTACTTGTATTAAATCACTGAAAACATCCAGCGTCTTTGTTGACTCTTTCAAGTGTAACATTGGCTGTAGAGTCAACAGAAATGTTCGAGTCAACAAACCAGCAATTTGTCAAGGTTTGTCCCGGCTTTCGAGACCCCCAGCTCAGTATGTTAATGAGAGAGGTTCGATCTTTAAAACGAGTTGGTTCAACCCCGAAACATCATTTGGTAACTTGACAGTAGATCGTATAACTACTGATAACGCTAGGGCACCTGTTAATAACGGCCCAGTTCCAAGTGATATACAGCAATATCTGATTGTAAACGTTACCTTTGATAGTGACTGTGTTATACTCCAGTGAATATACCTACTAGTATATTAATTAGTGACTTAATTACTCCTTCTTAATTAGGTAAGTCTATTTTTTGTATAACCCGGAGGAAACAATACCAACCTACTCAGACTGAAATTCACCAGTCAGAATCCGAAAGCTGACTCATTCAAAAAGGTGGTCATGAAATGAGTCCAAGAGTGACTCTGGATCATCCTTTGATCAGTGCCAAGTAACAATGCTTCCTTTCAAGATAAACTTTCTGGCGGAGACAGGATTCATTCCAGCATAAAGCCGTGAATAGACGAGGTACGGTGTCTGGTGCGGTGTCCGGGTGCGGTGTCGGGGTGCAGACTATATCGTACTTCGTGTATTCACTTTTTCTATTTTCTTCTGTAACAATAAACCCGAACACCATACCGAACACCATACCTCGTCTATTCGCGGCTTAACGAATTTAATCTCGAAATGAAAACATGAGATATTCATTATATTGCATAAATGTGCAAATGAGTTCGATTCTTCATGAGCAATCTCTTGTGATCTAGAATACACCTTGGTCGATTGACGATAAGTGGCATCCCATAAACCTGCAGCAGTAGACATGCGCATATTAAAAACTTACATTGAAAATTGGCGGACTATTAGCAATTGCGATCAATCACAAGATACAATGTTTGCTAAAATGAGAATGCTAGCAACTGATGACCACTGCCATTTGTTAGTCTGCAATGTTCTCAGGACGCTCCTATGTCTATGATGGCACCAGTTGTTAGCGGTTTCTGAAAATTCAGTTGTTTTTAGATTATGATAGACTATAGATGGACTACGACTAATAATTCACGAAATATATGGAATAAGATTCTGCTAGAAGAAACACAATTATTAATTTTTGATGAAAACTCCATCTGGATGTCATCCTAATTACCAACACTGTCTTTGACAATTCTTTCAAACGCCTAGACGTGACCGCCCCAATATGCCATGATCATGTCTTCTATAGAAATTGCACATAGGTGTAAAATATGAGTGGTTCAGAAGAAACCACTATTGTTAGTGTTTTTTGAATGTGCTGCGTTATTCAATGCAAATTCAACACTATTTGTATCGTTAACAGAAATATTTATCCATCGTCTGACAAACAAGTTTTTAAATTTGAAATAAGAATTTTAAAAGTCACGAAAAGTTGACAGAGATATGTGCCAAGAAATGTGATTGCATTTGTTAAAAGTGACACACATCGATAGTGTTTTTAACGATAAAGAAACATTGATTTCAAGTGTTGACTAGAACTTTTTAAATACAAATTCTTATGTTGATCAACTTGGGTTTAAACATCGAAGTTTAAAAGACTGTCAAGTAAATACTTGGTCGTGAATTCGATTTTCTTTATCAAATTGTTGGGTAAGGTCGGGTTGGACGGAGGTTAGATAAACATCGCGAAATTCAACTGGACATGTGAACGCAGCGGGGCTCAACAACAACATGGTGTAAAGATGCACATTGTAAACAAACCCAGCACATCCTTTCCAGTTTATGCAAATATGAAATGAAATGAATGGAGTTTTACGTTCTACTTTTTACGCAAATATGAAATGATAGGTATTGAATATTGCACTCTCGTGATCGGAATTATCAGGGTTGTTTTTCCAAGTAGTTTTTCGTTTTGTGAACTTTGTCCAATTTTCTTTGAAGATCATCAAATATAAAATACATGATATAAATGTCGTTTCAAATTTCTTCAAAATGTGATGATCTTTTTAGACTTTTCCGCGGTCGAGGTCGAGGAAAACAGAGCTTGGGTAACAGGCCTTTCATGATTGGAATTGTCATGGTCTTGTTTCAGAGCGTTTTATTGCAAACAATATTTGTCCATCACAGTTAGACAGATGTCGTTCAAATTCCGTATCAAAAATTTTCAAGAAAGTTGTTTTGATTTTTGTGCAGGCTGGGAAAACTTTAACGATTAGAAAAAGCCTAAACTAAAAACAATCTACAATTCACTGATTTAGAGAATTAGAGAACAACTGGATTTCCAAAATCTGATCAATTAACTGACGACTGAAAAATCGCAGATACCATCAATTGTTATCAAAGATTCTAATTTAAATCTTTGTTGGCATCTCATATAGGTATCCTTCATTAATAATGACTGCGATTTGCAGAATTAAATTTGGATTTCTCATTACCATCATTATATATGCTATCATTATCATCATCATTATTTTCATTATCATCATTATCATTATTATTTTGTATCATTATCATAATTATTTTCATTATCATCATCATTATTTATTCTTCGTCTTATTATCATTATTATCATTATCAATATTATTGCAGACATGATGCGGTATACACTATTACTAATTATAACTTGGTACAGCCTGGTGGACTGTAAACCTCTACATGATAACCAAGCTGTGGAATCCATTATCAGAAACAGTCTCTCTCAAACCATGACCGGTAAGTCATTTCCCCACTCTGTTACTGCTTTATTTACTGTCTCATGTTCGTGTGTTCTCATGTTCCTTTGTTCTCATGTTCCTTTGTTCCCATTGTCCCGTGTTCACTTGTTCTTGTGTTCTCATATTCTTGCTGTTAGCTCTGGATGTAAGTGAAGTGTTCAAATTGTTCTCTAAAAAGTGTGATTTCAGATATAGAAGCTAAACCAATAAACTTCACCGAGCTAACAGAGGGATTATGAGAGTTGTATTATGTTTTGTTGCTCTAATTGTTTCCCGTTGTAAATGTATTGTTAGCTTCTTGGGGTAACAAACAACCCAGTTTGTCCCTATACTTCACTTTCACAATGTCAAGCTATTACGATCTGCGTCTAATACCTTGACCTTTGACCTGTAATACAAAATTCGTGAATGCAGCAGTTTAATTGGTTTGTAATCCAGTGAGTACAGTCAAATGGAGCCCTCGAGTACACGCCAAGTTGTTTACAGTCCTTATAAACCATATTAACCAGGCAAGAAAGGTGCCTAATGATGTCAAGGAAATTTAGTAATAGCTTGACATTGTGAACATGATAGTTTATCAGAGTCCATCAGGTAATCATCGTTTCCCAAGGGGCAACCTACACTACTCATTTCTAGAACCACGGATTGGTACACTGTTGTAATATTGTCAGCTTGTAGAACACATCAAAATGCTTTCGGTTACAACGTCCATCCTATTGTAGGACCTACTATTGTGTTTTTGTTTGTACCATGTATGTATTTCTCATATCCTCACACGCCTGTACCGCCTTCTCCACAGCACTGTGCTATGTTGTATTTTCGTTTCAGAAAAGGCAGACGCCATCGACAACCTACTCCGACTTTTGTCGGAAATCGACCTTCCTTCAATATGTAACGCTTTATCAGCACAGCAGCACGGTGGAAAAGACAAGATGGCGACGGTGGATGCTATATTAGCCGAGGCAGCCAAATCACAAGCTATGACTTTTATCCCGACCAACTTTCCCGAGACTTCTAAAGTCACCCGACCCGGTACAGCTCTGCTCTTCTCATTTCAAGCATCGGGTTTGCTGTGAAAGCTGCTTTCTGTATGCCGACACCAAGCATGAAGTTGGCTGAGTGTGATGTGTTTAGGGTCTTCAAGGGTTTGTTTTTGCCTGAGACGTAAGCATGTCAGTCACCTTCTATATTCTTAATTGTTGTTCTCTTTATTTCTTTCTCTTTATTTCCTGTTTCTTCTTCACACGTAAAGATTATACCAACCCTAGTTCTATTAGTCAGAGAGAGTTGAAAAGTTGTCCGCTAGGCGACTAGGTGCCGCGGGTTCGAATCGTCAATATAAATACTGATTTTAGAGATTAGGCTTGGTGTCAGTTAATCCATATTGTAACATATAAGAGACAACTACCATTGGGATTGGTTAAAAAGTCCAACCCCTAGAAAAAAAATTAACGAGAGCATTTGTTTAAAAAAAAGTCCCGGGGGAGAAGCCCCAACCCAAGTCCATGGCCCCCAGTCATCTAGTTAAGCCGTTGATAGGAAAAATTCGATTAAAACCTGTGATATATGTAGATTAAACCTCGAGATAAGTGTCGCCCCAACGAAATAGTTTAGTACACGATGCCTCTCCCTACCCCACAGGAATTAAAGATCTTGTCATATGGAAAATGATGACGAGGACCGATCAAAAATGCCTCATTAAAGGGAGCGTCGGTTGAAAGAGGAGAAATTTCTCTTGATTAATTTAGTATTTATCTGTATACTTCTGCACATTTCTTATGAATTACGTTACAAAATAAAACAAATCAATACACTAGGGTCTTACTTGTATCATAGAATCTCATTCAAACGGAAAAAAAAACTATTAATTAGATATCAAACCAGACTTAACAAGAACTAAAGAACTAGGATTGGTATATTCTCTAAACACTTCTCTATAGCTTTATATTTACCGTAATCTATTATTCATATCATATTCTACAATTTTAACTCAATATATCTTATAATTATATATAATGCTTAGTAAAGCAACTAATTACACAGTTAATATCACTGAGCTAAAATTCAGTTTCTGCACAATTTGATCACACTGTCCATTCTTTCTATATAGACGTGTTTACTAATAGAGTGACTTACTTAATGACCAGAGAAATCGGCTTCGATTTAAAGTTTTGATAGTCCTTTTCCTAATGGTTTTCTATGTGTTGTTAAGCGCGGACCGCGGAGTAAGCACGTCTAGTGCAAGAAGCAGTAAAAGAGAAAAATATCTTTGACCATACGTTTAAAAAATGAATATTCAGTGGTGTGCGAGGGTTAGGGAAGGGAAGGGGTGGACTGACCAGGAATAATCATTCAGAGTAGGGGTAAGAGGGGTTTGGGGTGCTAAAGGGCACTTGAGGATTTACGTCAATTCAATTTCTCGAGACGAAAACTTTTCCTTAAACGAGAAAGAAAAAATTATATGAGGACTACACTACAAGAAATTTATATTTCCAATTTGTTTCAACTGAAACTAGTTAGCGTCCACTTTCAACTAAACATACAAGGCCGGGAATCAAATGAAACGCTCCTCACGTTATCGAAGCTGATTTTTCAGTCAGATGTATCACTTATTTAGCATGCTCATTATTTTCTCTTACCGTTCTGATTGCTATCGACCAAAACATTGATATTAATGATGCTAGTAGTCTTAACTAATGCATCTGCTGTCTAAATTTCAAATTTTAATTCGAAGCAATCAGAATTGGATGACCATTGTGCTGTACGTAAATCACAAACGAAAAAAACAGCTTTTAATCTTTAACCACTCCTGTTACTTTGTGAAATGAGATCAATGTCTTTTCTTAAGATTTCACGATTCACTAAAAATTATATTAGATTAACCTCCGGCACAATGGTCTGTTTCTACTATATATTTCTATCTATTTACTCTGTGTGTGTGTTTAATTCTGTTTTATATTGTAGCATGATTCAGTTTGTGGTTTCTGGAGATATGTTTGATTCACTGTTCCTACTATACTAGCTACACTACGTATTTTTATATAGCGTATAGCTCGTCTTTATTATTTATTCTTATTGCTCATTGCACAGACTTAAAGCAACAGCTAATAGCTCTTGGTTCAATGTCATAGCTCAGGTTAATAGCTCCAAGTATAGCTCGCAGTCCATTATCTTAGCTCTTAGCTCCTAGATCCGAGGTTTTTGTTTCTCAAAATAACCTTATGACAACCTTTTGTTTATTTTAACAATGTTAATCGTAGTGTTATTTGAGAAACCTGTGCAGTATCATGATTCACCAATTTTTACGATTATTATAAGATTTCGATTATTTAAAAAGTAAACAATTTGTTATAAAACTGTCGCGGGCAAAGTTAATTTTATTTTCAGGTATAATTCGGTGACTATTTTTAAATTGTTTTTTGTTGTTTTTCTGGTCCTATGGGTAGATGTTTTAGAAATGTATTAATCTTTAAAACAGTAGATTCTAGTTTGTGGTTCTGTGTGGCATATTCTATATTTTATATATTCTGAAACCCTGTCGAGGATCAAGGCGTTTGGATTTGAAATTTAATATTTTGCTTACAATACATCGACAAAAAAACTCGTAGCCTAACAGTTTTGGAGTTTCAAACGCTTTACCTAGTTGATAATTTGGAAGAACATGTAAATGCTTCACAAATTGACCTTTAAATAATCAGATTTAGATTGTGAAAGAACCTCTTTCCAATTTTGTCGTATTGTGATAATTGACTATCCAGTACCGTGTTTAGGTAGCCCTCCCCTCATGCCCGAGAAAACTCGAAGTGAAAAGTAAGCCTTGTAAATGATCAAAGTTCATCTCAAGCCATCTGAAATCTGGCCTTGGAGAGACACCCCCAATATTTAACCTCCCCTCAGGCACTTTCTAGATACGCCCCTACATTATATCAATGATAGACTTTAGATCCTTGAAATCCAGACGCCTTGACAAAAGTTAAAGATATCGGTAAGGATAAGAATTCTTATAGTATTTTCGGTGTGGAATTGAATATTTATTGGTCAAAGTCTCTAGTCAGTGAGTTGGTTTTCTCAAACGGTAAGTGATAGCAGGAGAATTGAAAGGATGTTGATTGTAAGTAAGTTTGATGAAGAACTTCAAGAATATTTTCAGTAATAAGGTTGACAATCTAAATCGCTGTATTTACATCTGTAAGATTAGAACTCCGGGCACCTAATTGACGAATGACTCTATTTTTACCCATAGAGGTGTTTGTTCGAAGACTGTATTTGCTTAAACCCCCTTCGGGAGTTGTATTCCATATTTCCTTCTGTTTACCATACCTATTGGCTTATTCTTATTTCATTTAAATCTAAATTGTCTCCACGCTTCGATAAACTAGTATCTGCTGGGAAGCCTTCAAAAATTGCTTTAAGCGTTTCCAAGCAGGAAATATTCGTTAGATGTTATCACGTAGACAAAGGATATGAACCCTCTCTTAACGTCCGCTGTTACAGTATTTATTAACCCTGCTTCACCACCAAAAGAGTTGTCGATGTCTAGTTTTCATTTTTTAAAAGAAGCATGAACAAGAATGTGACGGGAACAAACACTAGCCGATAGCTTTCTATAAAACTGTCAAACATTTCAAATAGTTCAGGCCAAAAACTTGTATTCAAATTTGTAGAAAAATTAGACGCGTCACTGTTGCACCTTCAGAACCAATACTGTATCCTATTTTCAAACAAACTTAGGTTACTGTTTCTTTTTGTGTCTAGATAATGTCGTTCTTCAATTAATGTCTATTTTAATCAAAGTAAATTTTGCCTTCGTTCTCTTCAAACTGATTTATATGTTAGAAAAATTTTATTTACATATAAGAAATAAGGATTGTCTACTCGACGCAGAAAATCAACGGATGCTTTTCAACGGGTTTGCTTTTCATCCTTGTTTCCTACATAGATATCCAAGGGGCTTTCAACCTTATTATCCTTCGCAACCTATCCTGTTCACCTCTCTACGGGCAAAGCTAGACTGCACGGTAACCCACCAACCCCCACCCCTCGGCCCTACCGCCCTACCCACCTCGTATACATGTACCCAAGACGCACTAAAGAAGGTAAGCGCACCTGTTTTTGATGTATTGGTTGTAATCATTTCATATCGTATGCATCTATTTGCGAATGCAACATGTTTGCGACCTCGATGTTGGTGATTGCGACATGATTACGTGTGCGACATGTGATTACTAAGGTATTTCCTATATATATTGTGTAGATGTTGTGGTTTGAATATATCAATTTTTTTACCATCGACTCGTGAGTACGTCGATCAGCTTTCAACTTCTACGTGTTTTTTTTATTCTTTTATAATCTTATATAAGCTAGAGGCCTGTTTTCGATATTATCGTTGTTTTGAATTTACGATAATCATAAGTATGAAGTATAAAGCATTGTGATTGGTTGTTCTTATCATGGCGATAATATTAACCAATCAGATTTGAACTTACATTGTAATCTTCTATCTGAAAACAGTCCTCTCTGCCTCTTTCGGAAGTGTGTTTTGGGGTGTTTTTACATTTTGCTTGTTTTTATTATATTATAATTATATCTTATAATTCTAAGTTTTTGTGTTTTGCTTGGACATTTTGTATTTTTGAATTAATGTATCTGCGACATGGTCAATGTATTTCGATGTAATTTTTCTTCACTTGTTGCCATCAATCTCTGAAGTGTGCGCACAACTTGCGATTTCAAGTTCAATATTGCTTTCGTTTTATTTTCACTTGGCTTTTGACGACAATAGTTAAAAGGCATGCTAAACGTCGGTTAAGTTTCTTGGTTTGATTAGATGTGATTTGATATTGTTTAATTCAATATTTGCCCATTTCTAGTTTAAAAGTTTGTTGGTCGCCATTTTGGTGACTTTTTTTGGTTTCAGAGTATGAGGTTGGTTCATTTTTGTCAGTTTACTTGATTCAGTTTTTGTTTGAATGACCTTCAACGAACAATCCCAACCACTTCGGTGAACTTTTTAAAAACAGAGCTGTGAGAGCCACAAAAATGGGCCTCTGCAAACGGGAATCGTTTGAGGTGCCAATGACTCATTTTGTGGAGTTTAAAGAAAAACCCTTTTCACATCTCTATTTTTAAGATTTCCTTACTTAGCTGGTTGTTAGATCATATTTATCCATGTAAGCACACCAAAAATAAAATTACATTTTTACGATTTTACTTCGTTTCGTCTCCTAATTCGGTTTCATTTTATATTTATGTAGGCGTAGCACCAGCAGACGTCGTCACTCGTGGTAAAAATGGTCAAGGACAGTTTCAAGATGGTAAACAAGCCAGTCAGGAAGTCGCCATTTCAAGACCCGAAGGAAAGTTAGACGGTTTGTCACTAGACGTCGCCGCTGCCTTAACAGCCAAGAAACAACCCCGACAAAAGACAACGAAAACAAACAACGTGGACATTTCTATTTCTGCTCTCAGTGGTTACCGGAAATCAATGTTTCCACGGGCCAAAACCCCTGGACTACCAACCCCTAAACCATCTAAATCTACTGGAGCACCCCTGAAAATCACCAATGCACCAACACAAACAACTATGGCCCCACCCAAAACAACCATGTTAACATCACAGACCACCAATGAGTCACTCAATACTTCAACGGCTGCAACGGAAACGACCAATGCACCATCAGAAACGACGATGGTCTCAACCCAAACAACCATGACACCACCGAAAACGACCATGGTCCCAACCCAAACAACCATGACACCACCTAAAACTACTAGAACCCCACCCAAAACCACCCCAGCACCACCAAAGACCACCAGAGCTCAACCAACTACGACTATCGTAACTAAAGCCGCAAAGAAGGACACGACCATCCCGACCTTAGCCAGCGACATGATGCTACCCGACAGCTTGTTCGGTGAATCTGGAGATGGTGAGAACATGATCGAGAAAGTCCGTCCAACTGAAACTTTCACTACACTCAAGATGGACGATCAATCCACAGAAAATAAAATCTACAACCCATTCGAAAAGAAATACAAGAAAATCTTCCAAAATCGAAAAATCAAAGATTATGAACTGAACAAAGATTCTCCATACAATCTTCCAAAGAGCACCAGCCGTCCGGAATTTAAAGATGCAAAGACTTCCAAAATATCCGAGGTTCACTCTTCCGTTTACAAGACCTTCGTTCCAGACAACACCAACAGTCTGAGTGAGCAGACAACGGATATGATCGACATTACCCCCACCTTAGAGGATGATTTAGGCTGGGGATTCACCCTACCCCAGAACACCACATTTGGAGAGTTTATGTTCGGGAACATCACTTTAAATCAAACTCTGTCAGACGAACTCGCCTCCATCTTGAACAGTACCGTGTCTGTCGACTTCCTGATCTCCAATGACACGATTTATAACGAGTTTATGAGCATTTTGAACCGAACTTTGGCCACTAGTGATTCCAATTCTTACCCTGGAACACCAGAACCCGAATTCGACATGGGTCTGTCCGAAACTAGTGACATAAAAAATCTTATGGACTACATCTCGAACATAACTGAGAAGCTTTCTACCTTATCGCCAGAGGTCAACGGAACCACTGCCAGTCCTATGAACTCTACCACTACTACCACTACTACTGCTACTGCACTGGTCGAATTAGTGACTGAAGATCAAGCGAATTCCACACATGACGTTGACAATAACAAAATTGTCCTAAATTCGTCCCTTGAGGCTGATTATTCGACGTACTCCGCTAAAATCAACAGCAACTCCAACACCAAGACGTCTTCAGTTGAACTAAAAGCGACTTTCCCATCAGAGAACGGCTATATTCACACGAAATTCCCGGAGTATCCACCAAGGCGAGAGGACGCAGATGTGAAAAGTCAAACCGTGTCTCGACCAAATGAATTCACAGCTGGTGATTACTACCCACAAACGGAAGCCGAAGATGTGAATATGCTGGCTGGATCTAATAATCTCATAGAACACGAAGACATCGAGAGTCAGTTCAAACATTCTGGATTCGCTCCCTTGAATAAGAACCACGATTACAAAGTGAATTCCAGAAACACCGGATTGACCTACTTAGGTTTCGACTTCAAGAAAAACCATCCTAAAACTGTCCATGATCAAGGAGCTGTTCAGTCTCTCACCAAGCAGAAAACTATCTGGTCTGAAACCACACAGAAAGATATCAGCTACCCTACAGGTAAGACTACACTGAATCCAGCATTTTATTTAGGCGTTTCCATCCATTTTTGGTTGGGAGATGGCTGGGACGCTGGGTCGGTTAGGGGCTATAGATTTGTCAATTCGATTTGGAATCCTACATGTATAACTTTGCTTCACTATACTAACATAAGATCAAAGGGAAGCAACCCATGTAAGACAAACTGACTATATCGATTGATTTTTGTATTTTTGCAATAATCGCTAAGTATCAGGGAAAGATAATCCAAATTTAAATTGATACCCTTTCTAAAATGAATTTTATCAGCAGCATGTGGACTTTCTGTCGCACCAAGTGTTCCATGAGGTTTCAGCATGCCTTGACTCTATACAGCAACATTCTTGACTTTATCAATGAACATTTTGCTTTTTCTCTGACTGCTAATACTTTACTTTCACTTTGATATTTTTCAGGTTACACATGTCCTGGTTTATTTGGTTATTTTGGTGACGCTCACGACTGTAAAGCATTCTTCATCTGTAGTTGGGGCGTGCCCTACCGATTCCACTGTCCACCGGGCACGATCTGGAGCACTGCCGAGAGTGTGTGTAACTGGAGCCGAGACGTGACGTGCCAAGAATCAAGTTAGGTGACCCCTTCCCCTCTTCCCATTTCTCTTTAAGATTGGTCTTCCAAGACTTTAAACTTTATTTATTATAATGTCAAAAAGATCCTTAAAAATTAGCAAAAGACCCTTATAAATCAGTCAAAGACCCTTATAAATCAGTCAAAGACCCTTACAAATCAGTCAAAGACCCTTATAAATCAGTCAAAGACCCTTACAAATCAGTCAATGACCCTTATAAATCAGTCAAAGACCCTTACAAATCAGTCAAAGACCCTTATAAATCAGTCAAAGACCCTTATAAATCAGTCAAAGACCCTTATAAATCAGTCAAAGACCCCTATGCCCCCTCTCACTCTCTCCAATCAATATATTTTCAATCAGGAGAAAGATAATTAAGGGCAATTTAAAGGAGAAGAACTCTAATCATTGGAGGTCAGCAACTTGATAAGATTCATATTTTAACAATTACAGTCATCTGATTGGTTGATTACTACTAAACTTAAAAATTTATTTCAGTTTCAGTTGTACGCCTAACGATTGAAATATGACTCTTGTTTATAAATCAAATATCACCCTAACAGTATTGATTAGGTTATTTCTCTTGTCCGGTGAAATTCTCATTTTACATTTCTCTTTAGTTATTGTGATTTAGAAGCTGTTTTCTTGGTTATTGATAATTTATGTTTAATTTATATAGAATAAGTATATAACTGTGGTTTATTTATGTTTCTTTTGTAAATATCATCTTCATTATTTTATTATTTATTAACGAAGGACGCTGTTTGTATAACCTTTTTTTTATAAACGAAGAACATCGTCTTTCGAAAGAAAACAGGATTGTTCATGCGATGAGAACATCAAACATTTATTTCAGTTCACTATTTTTTTGAATTTATATGTTGTGGCTTCTTTGTTCAAAATCATTTCTTTCTGATATTTTTCATTTTATCACTTAAAATAAGAAAAAAAATGAAAAACGTTGCTTACATGACGGTTAAGGCGAGATATAGGTTTAGGATGTAGAAGTTAGACTTTGAAATCAGCATATTAAAAACTACCAGTGGTGTGTTCAAATTGTAAAATATTGTATTAGACGGAATAGGTGTGTTCCTTTTATAGAATCAGAATTTGCGGCATGGACAATTTGAAAATACAATCCTAGAAAAGGAGAGAACGTCTAGGCATCCTTCCTTTTCAAAATGAATTCATTATGATATGTTGGTTGTAATTGGATCTCAAATACTTGTATCGAATATAAATTCACAACAAATTCTTTTGAAGAAGTCTTTACGAATTTTTTAACATTTTCAAATCAGGGTTTTTTGTATATTTATACAAGCTTTAAATCGATATCATGATTCTGTAAAAAGTATTATTATTATTATTATTATTATTGTTGTAAATGTGTTGTAGCGTGTATTTTCTAGTCGTCTCATTCAGGTTTAAATAACGGCCTGTGAAAATGAGTTTAGCATGTTATTCGACCAAGAAACCTTTAATGAAATATTCAGAAATAGGCCTATTTACAGAATGGTGACACTACAGGATAGGCTACTATTTTAAAACATGATTGGCGAGCAAATGTAGTTGAAATGCTCTTCCTACGTGTTGTATTGAATGATCCGTTCTGTTGACACCACTTTTATGAAAAGACAACCTCATTGAATTTTTCGACTCAAAATTGAAATTGTTAATTAAAATGTATTTTTTAGTATGCTTCCGCCATTGTTTAATGTCAAGGATACACAAATCACGTGATTACTGAACTAAAATTTTCATTGGTCGGTCACTAAACCTGAATATGACGTCATTGTTTGTTGTCAAGGGACGTTGTTATTTATATTATATTTATATGATGTATAATTTTGTATATTTTAAATTTTTTACCTTTGTATATCTATTTTTGTACTGAAAATCTTGTATATTGATGTATATTTTCTATGATTGCTAAATCACAACTGGTTGATTGAATATAATATTTCATGTCGGAAGTTTTTTTTATTTTGAGGTTCAATGTGGCCATTGTTTGCGACTTAGTTAGGCTAGTTATACTAGTTTCCAACAACGCTGATTGAATATCCATTGCAGATGATGAGTTCGTTTATTGGATTTGTTATAGTCGTCAAAAATCTTCCAGGAGAGGGGAGACATATTCATCATCAGGTTATGAACCCATTTCTTGCATCGGGGATAAACCTAAGATCCGAACCGAAACAAACATAGGCCTAGGCCTAATTAGAAAGGAATCAAAACCTGATATGGTGGAATTTTAGCTATACGAACTAAGTTATCGGACTGTTAAACAGTAAAACAAGTTGTACCTTGGACAAAATATTACAACCAAATTGCATGGCGTTGGACTCATTTCATACATCGTAAAAAGATCCCCACCAGGACAACTTGTCATCGAAAGGAATTAAAATCTGTGAATTTGCAACAACAGTTAGCTACTCTAGCTCATACACTGGACGAAATGAAATAAGTTCAGAAACCAAATTCAACTTTGATTAATTTATTGAATAAGTTACAGTAATATCGATTACGGAAGGACGGATAGTATAAAATATATCAGTGTATCAATAAACCCTCTAGCATGGCTGAATATTACATCTTCTAAACTCAAACTTCATCCCTTCACAGTGTCCCTTTAAACAGTCTCTCTTTCTAATCTGGCTCCCTCCACCACATCTAGCACTACATGGCGACCAGTCGGAGAAATCAGCCCAAATATAATCTGAAATTAACACAAAATATACCAAATAAACAATAACATTTAATTACATACAACTCTACTGTATCATTAGGCTAATTATTAACATGACAAGTTTTGAGTTTTAAGTCGGATCAGTACCATAAGGGCACAGCTCCCATCATTTCCAACAGGAATGAATTTTCGGGCTCTGTAGCCTTCTATGCTGTATCCTATTAGATAATGAAAAGAAAAACAGTTTTATGTCCTACTGTTTTGCATCTAATTAAAGCTGTTTACAATCTAAGTTACCCTCGGTAATCCTCGGCTGAATCACGTGATCACGTGACAATCTGGACAAAGTTCCGGTAAATAATGGTTGCCATTCAATACCGTGATGTTGTAGAGCGCCAGCAGATAGCAGAACTTTCACAGTAGATCATTTGCCTGAAATATTGCATTGACCTTACGGTGTGAGACAAATTCTGCTCAGTTCTCATACTTACCTGGTGGGGATTCTATTTTATAGCGAGCTTGAAAACCGGAAAATTCGTTATAGAATTCGTCAGAGCGAAATTGTAAGAAAAGAAGGTTTGTGGTGAAATGAAGTGGACCTTCTGGACCAGTTCCACAGAATCTGAAATGAAAATATAATCTTAAATACTTCTCGAAAACTTAAATTAAAATGATTTTTGTGTTCAAATCATCTGATTGACTGAGATAATGAGTCACCTGTTCTAATATTTAATACTTACTTCAAACCAGGCACTTCCGGTCCTTTATTTCTAATTTCCAACCAATCATACCCACAGGGGGCGTAGTTATCAGCCTCGGTTTCAAAATGATCAAATTCCAGAGTTATGTTGGAGTTTTTGGGTCCCTGAAAAAGTCAGAAATACAGTTCAATGTACCAGTTATACCTAACCAATATCACAGAACGTTCTTACTCAGTGAAATTTAATTTTATGTACACGTTATAATGTTTTATGTTTAAAATACAGAACACAGTTATGATTATACTTTGAGTTATATCCCCTTAAAAGTGGGCTCTACGAGATATAACATAAATATGGGTTACGTTTCGCGTTTGTTTTCAGTCCAGATCCTGATTGGATTACATTCTCTAGGATAGTTTGGAAATCAGATTAAATTTCGAAAACGCCTACCTCGATCAACCAGTTACAGACAACTCGATCACCATAGTCTCGTGGATAATTTCTGGTTCTAAAAATTCCACTAGATTCTTTCAATACTCCGCCACAACCTGTTATAAATAGTAAGCTGGTTTAGTCCATGAAAAATAAATAATCAAGCGAAGTAAACATATCTCATCCGTGAATTCCCTCTCGGTAGAGAGCGTTCAGATTTTTGAACCTAGTGTCCATTCGGTGGTGATGCAGATCAAAAAACCTTCTAGTCGTTAGAAAGGGACCAATATAAAAAGCCTTAAGAGCTAGAAGTTGTGAAAATCAAAAAAGAAAAAGGAAAATAACAATGCATCGTATCACGAATACGGGTTTTAACATGGTCTTATTAACCCCGAGGAAGTATGACGAATGAGAGTGTGGTTTTGACATGGTCTTATTAACCCCGAGGAAATATGACGAATGAGGGTGTGGTTTTGACATGGTCTTATTAACCCCGAGGAAATATGACGAATGAGGGTGTGGTTTTGACATGGTCTTATTAACCTCGAGGAAATATGACGAATGAGGGTGTGGTTTTGACATGGTCTTATTAACCCCGAGGAAATATGACGAATGAGGGTGTGGTTTTGACATGGTCTTATTAACCCCGAGGAAATATGACGAATGAGGGTGTGGTTTTGACATGGTCTTATTAACCCCGAGGAAGTATGACGAATGAGGGTGTGGTTTTGACATGGTCTTATTAACCCCGAGGAAGTATGACGAATGAGGGTGTGGTTTTCACTCGATGATAACAATTCTACATTGAAATTCGTTTATTTCAATAGTTCAAGGGAGGTAACTGATAAAAACCCCTAACAACCTGTACCCCTAGACCACACAGCTAGACTGATACCGAGTTTTGTTTTTGCCTTATGCTATGATTACCTGTAGACGAGGAGGCGACTGTTTCACAAAGTTTGCCAGATACACCAAACGGACAGGAACATCGACATCTTTCATTAACAAATCCAGCATTTAAACATATCGGTTTGACTGAACAGTGAGCTGTAATAATGGAAACAAGGAAATCGCACCAATAAAATTCCGAACATTCATTAGTAATACTAAATACTAGCGTTCAGTAAAATATTAGCTTTATTGGCTCTCTGAAGAAGATGCAGGGTTGGTTGATATCAGTAGCATCAGCTGTTCCAGAAAACCGAGAACGCCAAGATTTGAGACTTGAGATTTGAGCATCAAGCTAATGGGTGTAAGTATGACTTACCAGTCATCGGCCTATTGGTCTATAATATTATGTTATCAATTTACTTACCGTTGCATTGGTACAGTTCATTGGCTGTTTTAATATCTAGAAAACTTAGAGCTTTCCTCTGTCCCATAAAACCAGTCAATGCCCTTTGTTTAGGGGAGATCGTTTCTGATTGGCCATCTCGACTTAAAAACTGCAGAATAAAGAATCAAAACCAGACTGTCATCAATTGAAAGAACCTGTTTTAAGTCAACTTCAAGATAAGACGTTCAGAGTGATTTGGAAAAATTTGGTCAAGGACTAGCTTGTAGGTAGGTTCCTCGTGAACTTTAACTGTTATAATTGTAAAAATTTGAAGCTTTCTTCTTTTTCCTTTAGAGGGCATATAATAAAATCAAATGGATTGGTACATCGTTAACAAAGGGGAATAATCCAGATTAGAAAATTAACTTACCGTCGGTCCATAGTGCATGATGGATCCCACATCATAAGGCTCGTCGGTTCTCACGTGATCGTATCCATACTTCAGGAAGTTAGCTTTCATAGATGGCGCCACATTAGCAAAGTTGATGGTCACGTGTTCATCTCTATCTGGGCGACTCTGCTCGTGATAGTAACCAAGGGAATGACCTATTTCATGGGCGACAGAACCAAGCTGAATAGAAAAAAAAACATGGTTAAGACAATTAAAATATATTACGTATAATAAAAACAGCTTTACAATTAGATTAAAACGTCGAACAAGATATTTTGTTGCCTTGTTTCTTTGAGCTACACTCGTAAAATTTTGTTATTATATATGTTTTGTTCATGAACACTGATACAACCTTGCGCAAGTGATGCTCACAAACCAAAATTTTGACGGCTCTCTTGGTCTATCATCTTGTCTGAAGGGACATCTCTCTTAATATCTATAGTGATCAAACTTACTATATTACAGTTGGTACCAATAGAAGTCTCCTGAACACCATCACCGTTACGCCCGATATTAGATGTGCATCTATAAAATACAACAACATTTCATATAAAACTTTTATCAGTCATATAAATATATAATCTATATTTCTAATTTTCTAAGAAGATCAAACAGATTTCTGCCAAAGTTCCGCCAGCTCTCTGCAACATATCATGGTATTAAATGGCAGCCATTATATGCCGGTACTCTGTCATTACTGTCACATGATCACGTGATTCTGGTTGCTCTCACATGAGTAGTTGGTCGCTCGAGACCACCAGTGTAATAATAAAAACAAAAACTTGGTAAGATATGGATTCATTTGCACGCATAGATTTCGAGTTATCACGACATTTGGTATCAGTTTTCAAGGTTAAAAGATCTATTATTAATTATAGGCCTGTTGTCCCCTGCACAGCAGAGATTGGTTTTTTTTAAGCTCAATCTACAAGGTCATGGTAAAGTGGAACACATGATCACCATTAACCAATATGTGTGAAACGTTTAATAAATAAACCAAGTACTAATGATCTGAACCGAATAACGAAACCCAAAATCCAAAACAACATATAGACGAAACATTAGTTGCAGCTTATGAAGGAGATATTATACTTACCCATCTCCCTTTCGGAATAAAACTCGGTCATGATGACCTAATTCTTCAGCTACTTCCGGTGAATATTCTCTGAACTCTATACATGTGTTGTCTTCCCAGTGTTTCATCGCCGCCATGACGGTAGTCTTCATTGACAGTGCTGTAATATGGTGAGAGGGTGTAATCGAATGGTTGCCGATAACATGGTCACCTCATTATTATCACTAGGGTTAGTATTTGAAACAACCATACTGCCAGAAGTAAAATACCAAATGTTGGTTATATCAGGGGCAAATACAGTTTGGTGATACTGTGATCCCTACTCGGCCCCTCGCCTAAATTCTCACTGCAAATATTCAATTTGGAGAAGTCGAATAAGCAATGTCTATTTCTTAAGGAATATCCTTACAATTTCAGAGTGGTACTTACGTAAATCTGGGTGAAGCTCGTAGGGCATGACACCTTGAGGCCAGAGTTCTGAAACATCTCGAACAGCTTTTCTTCTGATCCTTCTCGTTCCACTTGGTTCATCAGCAATCTCTTTCATCTGGTGTATCTTTAGCTTCATATCTGACTCAAAGTTCGAGCCTTGTTCCTCGGCTGGTTTATTAGGTCCGGCCACATGTTGACCACTCATACGTCGTAGAAATCTGGTGTCTAGAGTCTTACTCGTCACCTGTGAAAGAAGTTTGAAGTTTCAGATAGAATGTTATTGTGTGTTATAGCTCCTATTGTTACCAACAGTATACATAGTTTCATATTGTTTTTACAGCTTTATAATGTATAACTGTGTGATGTAAGTATTGATTAACAGGAAATTTGGTGTATAGAGTCTTACTCGTCACCTGTAAATAGGTTGAAAAATATTAACACTCAGAGAGTTTGTAAAGAGGTCTTCCTAACATTTCATGTGTATCTAGGCCACTGATTGCATTCCAAATTTGCAGTCAGACGCTTTTGGTTCTTACGATCCGCTCATACTTAGCGTTTTTTAACGTCACTGTTGCATTAAGCTGCTTCAAAAAGTGGAATTGCAAGGCATGTTTTCGGAATGTTCGGAATATAATGTGTTGTATGGTGAGGGATTATAAGTACATCAGGAAACAAAAGAAACGAATACATGAGGTGCTTGTCCGAACACGATTTTGAACGTCGTTTCTTTGCAATCGAGGACAGAAAATATCTCAATGGGAATTCCCACCTGCTTGGTCTCCGTCCTTCGTCTATTCGCACATAAATAAGTGTTGATAGTAATGACAAATGACATAAATGGAGTTTTACGTGTTATATGACAAGCAAGTAATTGTAAATAATTGTATAGTGGAGTAACGTTATTTGTAGATATCTTATAGTGGGATTTAAAACGTAATCGAAGTCAATCCTCTTTATCCAATAATTTCAATTTTTTTTTGTACCCTAATTCAAGTGCTCGAGAACATTCCCGGATATGCGCAATATCACGACTTTAGGATTATTACAAAAACTTAACCCATATTGTGATAACATTTAGAACTGCAAATATTTTATTGGTTTATGGTTTATCAGATTTAGTGTTGTCTTTTAATTGACTTAATTTCTTAGATTCTAAGTTTCAGCAAACTACTTTCATTTATTTAAAGGGGAGAGGGTGGAGGGGGGGAGGGGGGGTCGTCATTTCAGGTCGTTCTTGCAACCGATAGAATGTGCTAGCAACTCATGGCGTCATGGAGAATATAGCTTTTAGTTGTCAAACTTCAAAATTTGAATCTGACACCATCAGGTGGCGAGAATTGGAAATTGTAATTGACTAATGTTGTAGGTAGCTCTAAGAAAGTTTCTACGGTGGTTTATTTAGGACAGTGGTACCTAACCTATTTCAGCCTTCACACCCCTGGAGCAATCACCTGGACCTTTCACCCCCCCAAAAATTTGTTTCATCCACATTTGCAACATGTGGTGATGATGTGAGGTGCTCTTTCATTTGATGAATGAAATAAATTTATTCTTCTCCTACACCAGTTGGCCACACCCCTGACACCCTAGTCCTCAACCCCCAGGGGAACCAGGGATTTAAGAAATAATTACCATTTATGTTTTTTTAAATTATTGTATAATTAATACATTTGTTTTATCATCTAAAATTGACTTTAAATCCCCATTTCCAAACCTATTGTCTTGAAGAAGAGTATGTATCCGATATATTCATTATAAATGTCGACAGAATAACCTGATTCAATTAGTAATATAAGAAAGTAATAGTTAAACCATGGTTTACATTTACATCAATGTCTGATGACCTTTAAAACGCCTTGATAAAAAAACAACAGAAACAGTAAATGATGATTTATACTGTTGAAATCTTCAAGCCTCCCACGGTTTGCTCTGGTTCTTTCTAAGATCAATTGTCAGAGGATTTGTCTTGCTTAAGTTTAGTCCGAAACTAGTTACACTAATCAGGATTCGAGTCCATGATTCCAACAAAGGGAGATGGTAGATGGTACCTTGATTCAACCCGATTTCCCCATCGTCAGTGACGCTGATTGGTTGAGATAATAAGACAGAGATCCCTTGTCCGAAACATCAGCCTCTATTTCCAGCCTCTGATGGATATTTTGACAGTAAATTGTCGGCTGGAGTAGAGTCAAAATAAACGACGCGTTTTTTCTAAGAAAAAAACTAAATTACCTTATTGATGAGTAAAAATTAGTGCTTTCGTTTTGTTAGTATCACGTGAACTTTGAACTGTTTAAATGGCCGATGTGAGATCAGTTTCGTTAAGAAAAAAAACATTTAATGGAACCGGAGACATGACATAAATGGTGTATGGAGAAAATGATGGTATGACTGAGCTAATAAGAGACCCCATGTGCCACGGGCTCTGCACGATAAGTATCCGCTGACATTTGGAAATCGATAAATTGGGCTCTCAGTTGCTCTTTTGGCAAAATCTATCATGTTGCTTTATTGTCATTGCACTTTTGGTCTTTTGTAGTTGTAATAGACCGAGGCCATGCCGCATGTATGGTATTCTATAGAGGTCGGAGTTTCGGACTCAGAAGAACAAGAACAAGATGTGGAAGGATGAATTAGGCTCTTATTATTTACTGTCGTGTAGGAGCTAAAAATATCAGTTTAAAATCTTCAATAGATCTGTCACGAATTTATGTTAACTCTAATTGTACAATACTGACATGTACAAATATCGATTTGAAAACAAACTATCAATTTTCTAAAAGCATGATTCGAAGTACATTTGACAATTCCAAGCTTTGCCATGTTTGCATTTTAGAACTTTTATCAAAGTTATCTTTTTTTAGAAAGCTATTTTGATGATGAGAAGGTTAGTTAAGGATAACTCATGAGGCTCTGTAATAAGAACGACACTTTCAAAATTTCTTCACGAATTGGATATGGACTCAAGAAATTTTAATTATGGGAAAACTTTAAAAATTATTCAAAGTCATATTCATATAGCATAATATGTAGAATTTATAACATATATATCAAAATACTGTGTATTCTTCAAAATAGCCTTCTGCTATAGACAATCCTTTGAAAACTTGACGTAAAACTCCATTCATTTCATTTCATTTCTAGACAATCCTTTCAGAAGAGAAGTCATTTCGAAGGTCGGAGAAGCATCTGACCAAAATGTTTGAAAAACATGTTGGTAGCTTATATATATTGCAATTTCACATGTTTTAACTCTAAATTACATCAAACTAGAGTTTAATTCTGATACTTCATTATACTATTAACATGAACAATGGATAACGATGCAAAATGTTGTCTTAATGTCTAATGTTGAATATTTTAAACAAAAGATCTTCAAATCGCAAATATATTCCATTCATTCTCTTTTGCAAGGTCCTAAAATAATCTGGCTTTTGTAGATTTAAAAAAAGAATTAAAAGGGATGAAGGGAAAATATGATAATACCAAAAAACAAAATCTCTTCTCTTCTAATAATCTAACCTAAGCAACTAATAACTCAGTGTATGAAGGGTTAATTCTTTGAAAAATAAAAATAAAAATAAAAACTGAAACGAAAAAAAAAAAAAAAAAAAAAAAAAAAAATAATCTAGTTCAAGACGGGTTAATTCTGAAAAAATTGTCCTTTTTTCACAATCGTACTTGAGCATTTAAAAAATCATAATCTGACGCATAAAGGGTTAAATCTTTATAAAAAAAACCTCTTACCTGAGTGACTGTAAGTAGGAAAATTAGTGAAATTAAGCCGAAAAGATTCATGATAATACTCCTTCAAAACTTTCTTATTGAGCTTCTCTGATATTTACTGGGTTTATATAATCCTTTGCTTTTTATTTGTTGACTCAGTGACAGATAATTGGCTGTCTAATTCTTCCCGAGATTCTCCCGTTGTCGAGAAATCAGCAGACGAAAGAAGGCTTGGCGGGAAATATCTGGGTAATTTCTCAGTGACTAGTATATCATTACATCAGAAAGGGGCGGATTATAATCAATATTTTAACCATCGCACTAGAATGAAGATCTTGACGTTTCGTTTCCTGTTGTTTCTGTGTGGCTTCAGATGACGTCCATTGTAGTCGATTGTAGCCACCTGCAGATGCAAAAAACCTAGATCTGGAATTAAAGCTATACTTCTTCTTGAAATGAACGTGAGATGTAAATTCTCAAACATGTCCATTAATAGTATATTCTTATAAGTTGTTTTGAAACGTTATGTACTTTGTTATTATAGAAAAGTGTTATACCATAATATAATCCCTTGTGTTTTCTCTCAACTTCTAAATATCATTCAAATCGTATAATCTTATATTCATCAGAGGAGTTACCAGTCTGGTGCCGTGTGCGTGGACAGGATGGTGTCTGAGGAGGGATGTACCCCCCTCAGAAGCTGAAATTTTTTCAAATTTTAAGATTTTTCGTCCCCACCCGGCTTGTTACGCCACTGCAGAATCCTTCTATAATCTTAATTATTGAAGAATTTTTAAAAATGTTGTGATTATTCCTTTAAATCCGATTGATTCAACCTATCATTCAACATTTAACATACTCCTATATTACACAAAATTAACCCCTGCCTAACAACTATAAGTGTGGATATTGTACAAGGAAATGTGCCGGAAACACTTGAATGCTGATTGTATAAAAATGACCTGGCCTTTCAATTTAGCTAAGATTTTTGACTATTCAATGTAATTTCTGTTCAATAGTTTCAGACATTTAAAAGTTTTGTTCCCAGCGCCAGGGGTGAGGAAACTCTTCTAAAAACAGTTTTTCACCCTGCTAAACAAAAATGAAAGACTGTTTTCTCTGGCTTAAAATAAGTTACACACAATGATACCTTCCTGAAAATGTTTACTTACAATTATATATCATATGCACATAATACAATGGTGTGTGTTTACGGTGTAAAAGTGTGTGTTTGTGGTATAAATTTGTGTGAATATGGTATGGTAAGAATGTTTTTGTGATATAAACATGTGTATGTGCGGTATAGTATATAAGTGTGTTTGTGGTATAAAGATTTATGAATACGATATACAAGTATGTGTTTGTGGTATAAAAATGTATGAATACGATATAACAAGTATGTGTTTGTGGTATAAAAATGTATGAATACGATATACAAGTATGTGTTTGTGGTATAAAAATGTATGAATACGATATACAAGTATGTGTTTGTGGTATAAAAATGTATGAATACGATATACAAGTATGTGTTTGTGGTATAAATGTGTATGAATACGATATACAAGTATGTGTTTGTGGTATAAAGATGTATGAATACGATATAAAAGTATGTGTTTGTGGTATAAACGTGTATGAATACGATATAAAAGTATGTGTTTGTGGTATAAACATATGTGAATACGATATAAAAGTGTGTGTTTATGGTGTATAGATGTGTTTATACGATATAAAAGTGTGTATTTGTGGTTTAAAGATGGGTGGTTACGATATAGTAACGGGACAAATATTCACATGAATAAGTTAAAAGTCAGTGTAAAGGTGTGTTATAAGGTTGCAGGGTAACGACTAGCGGCCCAGTCTATATCGTCCCAATATAAATAATAAATAGCCTAATAATATAACTGATTGAAAATAAATAACCACTTCAGATGACAAGTTTAATCCGAGTTTTATTATGTTTTATGGAGGAGAGATCAAGAGGCTTTCAATTCAAACATTTTATACTTTGTAATACTTTATAGTGAAATGGCAGAGGTGACTTTAAATGATAAGAAAGTTATTGAGAACATTCCTTCATCTCCCTCTTCTATACCAGAGCCACGGTAGCTCATTGTGTTAGTAAGACACTTGCAAGCTTACCTGAAGGTCAAGATTTATTGGCAGCATAGGTCGATATAATCCCTTCAAATATTTCGCTCGGTTTCTCCTTGCATTTCAGAGGGGCTGGCATGGAGTGTTAAGTCGGGATGGGTCAACAAACCGACTAAAAAGTAAAAAAAGAGCAACGCTTATGACTTCACCATCGCAAAGACTTATAATAATATCTATAATATTACATATACAGTTTCAGGCTGGCAGTAGATGCTCGGTTAGGGTATGGAATGAGATAATATATTCATTGTCAAGGACTTCTGTTAATAATTATTGAAAAGAGTAAGTCAACAAAAATTAATGTACCCCCTACATCAGGCAATGTATAACACCTTATGGACACTTTGATTGATCGACCACTTTACACCTGTATGGTATATCGATGTTAATTAGATATACCACCATCAAAACATTCAGGTAAACCTGAAACCTGCCAACAAAAGAACTACGGTCTCGACTCGATGTTTGTTTTGTGTCCTTCAGACATCAATCAATGATAGTGACAATCATTTTATAAATCCGAAAATACCAAATTAAAAAATTATCCCAAAACCACAACCCTTGTTTAAATTTACCAAACGTATCAAAAACTGACATGTTGAAAAAATTATGATTTATAATTTGGATAACCTCTGTGTCGGTTTTCGCGTTTTGATTCTGTGCATTTCTATCTAATGTCTACCTTGCCCCGAGATAATCTAAAAACAAACATTTACAAATACAAATAATTATCGATACGGTGAACACTCTCGTAAATCAGAAAGTCCAATTTTTGAAAAAAATCATACTTTTTTTTTAAATTTCAAAGTCATTTTAATGAAAAGTGTAACTGTCAAAGTCAGGATTTAATGTCATACAAAATATCTTATTACAAACCAAAGATCAAAAGCTAATCTGAAAATTATCTTAACTGTTTTATAAATCCTTCAAATTAAATAACTACGAGTTATCTTGTCGACTGAATCGAACATAAATCGCCATTTTTAAACAATAACAATTCTACTACAATTAACGATGATAATATTTCGTTTTCTGATATTGATAAATCAAGTCGTAAATTTTTAGATTAGCCGAGGTTCAAACTAAAAACTCTATTGACTCAATTCTCAAATAATTATGACTTTTGATCAGGTCCGAAAAGGTTAATTTTAACCGGTTTGGTCATTTTAGAACATCTCCTATATATCAACTATTATTCATTTCACTTTCACTTAAGCGATTAGATTCGATCACGGCATAGGTCGAGATGATATCTTCGGATTTTTCAACCCGGTTTCCCACTGTCAGTGATGCTGGTAAGAGGGGCAGACAGAAAAAAAACGTCTAGTCGTTCAGATTGACAATAAATACGTTAAAGATCCCACGACTGTTGGAAATAAAAAAAGATTTGGCTAATGCCGCTGTCCTGGCAAAATTTCCCTCATTGCGCCCCTCCCCCTCATTGCACACTGCATGGCGTTGCCATGACGTAAAGCTCTATTCATTTCACTTGTGCGGATAGGTACATTACGAATATGAATTTTAAAGCTGTTTTTCAGGTTTTTTCCATACCTCACGACTGGAATAGTGGGGAAAAAGATGACCTTTTTAAGTATCCAGTTACAAATGAATCGACTAGAAAAATGTTGTTAGATGACTTATTCAATACCCATTTACAATAACCATTTTTGATTGACCGGAATAATGATGAAAGATGACTTATTCAACAATTACATCTCACGCCAAAACGCCTGGAAAAGTTGAATGAATATTGTCTGAAGTCAGCTTAAAGTAGATTGCCTCCCTTGAAATATCATTATGATTTCTTTCACGGAGGCGTCAACAACGTCCTGTGAACAAATCGACAGTTCTAGAATGAGGTTATTGCCCCTGGACCATTACCATTGATCATTGAGTTTGGTGCTCAAAGACCAAACGTAGAACATTTTTTATAATCCAATAATCTGATTGGTCAATCACCAATCATTTCATACAAGTAACCTTACTAATTTTAGTGGTATTCAAATTCAATAATGGTTTGAACTGGACTTAAAAGCTGAAGAAGGACTTTAGGGATTAATATCAGCCATGTTCACAATTTAGATTCTACCATATGACAGTAGAAAATCTGTATTTTTGATCTGAGTTAATATTTCGACTAATGGCCCAGGCTTTCTCTAAGTTATTTAGCTGTTATCTTCATAATATTTAGCAATTGTTAATGGATATGATTAGTTTAATACCGACGTTCTGGCAATATTTCTTTCAATTCACACTGCAAGGCGTTCCATATCATCTTTCGGAACAGCTTTATCTGAATATTATCTACATATAATTTTCCTATTTCACACTGCATGGCATTCCATATAATTTGTCGGAACAGGTTTTTTTTCCAATTATGATCTTACACATATTTCGAGCAATATCAGAACAAGATGTAGAACAACGTAAAACACCAACCTAAGAACAAAGAATAGAAGAATGAAGCGAAGCGGAAAGAGATAATCTAAGATGACATGTTCTACAGTTAATTAGAAAGGCAAGGGAGATAATGAGACCAGATTAAGACCACTATAATTGTTTTAATTCTGTTAGCCTTTCGCCAGTTCTTTCATTACCGTCCAAATAGCCAGTGTCCAGCTCGTGGTAATTAGTAGACGAAGTAGTGATTATTTAAGCTTGGTCAATACTTGAACATTTCGAGTTATCTTTCCTTGACATGTCGATGACCCGCGATATATTGACATATATGATCGGAACGCCAGTATTAATATCATGAAAGTCGACTGAGTTAATATTTCAAAACTCAGTGAAATCAAAAACTCAAGTTCGGATGGAACCGCTAAACGAAACCCCAAATCAAAAACAAGATATTAGCAATGACTAATGGTAACAGCTGATGAAATTTTCATATGAGGAAGTATATCAATCATAGATTAGAATGTATTTCGTACTAAAAAGGGGTATCAGGTGTCAAGGAGGGTAAGCATATTTAAATTTGTAGAGACATCTGGAGGCTAATCGACGTACAAAAAGGGATTTCGAACCATGAAAAACGACAACCCACTTCGGCATCAACTGATCTTTTCCCATCACCACAAACAAGCAGTGTTCCTGTTAGAGTGCCAGTGGAATATGGTTGGTTTGGAATGGTTTGTGTGGAATTTAGAAAAAATAATATTTGAATCAAGGTGTACAATAAAAAAAAAGTTGTATTAGGAATTTATAGCATCAATCTGCACCATTTCAGTTTTCAGTGATACGTTTATGGCGTATTGCTCTTTAAAGGGAATATAGAGTGTTTTTTTTTTTGTCAAAATCACAATTGGAAGAAAAATGGCAAATAGTCATGAGAATAGAAACTCTTTCGTAACAGAGCTGTTGCAACAATTGCAAATTTTGAGGTCTTGGGCTTGTGTTGTTCGAAGAAATGCAGATATCACACACGTTCGTTCATAATATAAAGTCAGTAACGAATTCAAAGTCCCAAAACTGGTATACCAGAGAGGTAGAATGTATAATTGCGATTGCAATTTTTGTTGTTGTCGGAAATGGATAAACTAACGACAACGTTTATCTTAAGGTCATTCAGTACAAACTTTCAAACATTAAGTTCAATTTTTCAAAAATTCGAATGACCAGAGTGAGAGTGGGTCATTGTAAGGTAAACGTCATGAGGGGTCAAATTGCTAACATGTATTACAATCACATCAAAACAATCCATAATACAGGAGTGAGACAAGGCGCACATGTTTGTCAACTTTACTTTAACTTTTATATCAAAATTATCAATTAAATTTAGACAAGGGTAACTTTTATTTACATTATGAATATGATTGTTTCCTTTTGGCCTTTTTACCTGTGTCAGGGAAAGTTCAACTTTTGAAAATGAAAGGGTGATTATGTAAATGCTTTGAAATCTTGTATAATTCGCCCATTATACTTACATTATACAATCTTGAAGAAAACAAAGTTCACGGGGCTCAAAAGTTGAAACTAATGTCAACAGCTTTCAGGATTGTCAAATTTTTGGTCAGTTGAAATGAAAAAAAAAAATGTAAAAATTGAATAAACGATGTTTAAATTGATATAATAATATCGAAGTTGCAGCAAACAGTTTTATTGCCATGTGAATACAATAAAATATCAAGAAATGAGGAAATAGTTAAAAATGTAATTTCCAAAATTGAAACCAATTGAAAAGTTGTCGTTCTTGCATTTCAGATTTCTCATCGCTGGCACCTCTGCGTCTTAGCTTAGCGTTTTCTTTGCTTTTTTTCCAAAAATATCCCACACTCTATGGACTCTATGAGTCTTCCCCAGGGTATAACAACCGAAATTGCAGACTCTTCGCATCACTAAGATTGTTACAGATTGAACACGAAACCACAATAATTCCAGAATAAATAAACAGAGTTTTAACAATCAAAGAAAAATAATAGTCAGTAGAGAGGTAATGGGTTGCTACAAACAGTGTAATAGATCGTAATATTTCTACATCGTAATGATCAGCCCCTTTTATCATCTTACTATTCCTTTAATAGCCCCTCTTATACAAATAAACCAC